ACAACACATGGGTTGACCGCAAAGAAACAATTTGTTATGGCCTGTTTTATTTGGCTTTCAAAACGTAGGGAGCTGTTACCGATCCAGGGTAGTTTTAGATAGACCGGGCACTTTTGAGGACCAAATTTCAATTCAGCCGAGAAATTTCCTATCTGATCCTGAATGTAAACTGAAATAACATCTTCTGGATAGCCGTTCTCCAGAAAAAACTTATGTTGGCCCATATAACTGAAAGCTGGATCCCGGCTATCCCAAGTTTCTCTTCCCAAATTTAATTGAATTTGCAATTGGACCAGTGGCGGCGCCAAGAGGTGGTCCCCATTTTTCTGAAAACATCGTCTACACATTTTTTCTAAAAACCGATCAAAAAGCGAAGGGTATGGGTAGATCGGTAGAAAGGAAAGTTAACCTGATACAAAGCACTGAAACGAGGCAAAGGGACGTGGTGTCACTAACCGCGCCCATTACCCTCCCACTTTGTATTAGCTGGCGCCGCCACTGCCTTGAACTAAACACGTACTCACTATTCGTCCAACGAAGCCTATCACTTATCTATCAGTTTTCAAGGTTGTTTTCATCATTTTATGCAGTAGTTATTGAAAACGAATTTACAACAGCACACACAGAGCCGCATTCATGATAACAGCTTTGATAGAGCTGTACCAACTGAAAGCTGGCCCCGGACAGTGCTTCATGTGTAAGAGGCGTTTCATAACAATGATTGGTAGAGCGTGAGGCAAATAATAACGCACTCTTACGTGATCATCTTTCATGCATCAAATCAACTCGAAAACTCTCGAACAAATCTCTATTTACAATTTATATACAGTTAAAAGTCATGTGATTAGTAATTAACGGCGCATGCGTGACATGTGACAGGAGAGTGAACCTGTTACATCCATCCTTTCCTTCCTTAATAAAAAAAGTACTTGTATTTTTTGTTTATATAGCGATGTATAACGAGTGTATCAATGTTATGTGCGAATTATAAATGTTTGTTATAATGTAAATTGGCTATAAAATTATTGATTAATATAATTAACGACGTAAACGTGAAAATGCATCTGTGTCTAAAGACAGAATATCAATTCCACCGTGCGAACCACCTTCCATATGGAGGAAAGTGCACGATTTAACTATACCGCGGATACGACCATGTCGAGCTATGATTTCTCTGCTTGGAGGTTACGACTCATACATGCCTGAGAAGCTATGGCTGTCTTAGAGGGTAAGGATATGTACCTAATCTGTAAGCTACTTCAGCTACATCCTTGTTAAAGGCATATGAGTGAATAGGCGATACGCTAGGGGCCTCATCTGATTCGATATTAGAATTTGGGATGTCTAACTGGGAGATGTCAGATGGTCCGGGCTCTGGAAGTACAACTTCCTTTTCTATGTTGACGGGATGTGGACAGTCATGTCCCGAAGAAGCATGGCGCAAATTTAGAAGATCTTGTTGACCATGCGGATGGCCTGTGACGAGGAAGGGGCCATCGAAATTGCGCAGAAAGCGAATTTTTTGACCGCTTTTGCTTAAAGCGGAGTCCTTGCGCATGTAAACGATTTTGCCATCTGGCACGTATAAATGGTGCGAGGCCATATCGTACAATTCGCGTTGCCTGCGGCGCAGATCTGATTTTATGGGGCGACATTGTTCGTGTGCTTGGTGCATTCTTGAAACGAGGTTGTGTGCATAATGATCAGCATGCAGAGGAGTTGGTGGGAAATCTAAAGAAATGGTTTCAGGTGAGGGAGCATGACGTCCATAGATAATAAAAAATGGAGTTATATCGGAAGTTTCTGAAATGGGGGTGGTGTTGTGCGCGTAAACTGCGGGCCGTAAAAGTTATTCCCACGTTTCCTAGTTAGTTTCACAAAATATTCCTATAGCACTGTTCACAAAATATATAAAATCGATGTATGCGTTCGGTTGCTCCATTTAATCTGGGCCTAAAACCAGAGGTATATACTTGGCAGATAGAAAGCATAGTGGTAAGTCTGTGCATAACTGCATTATGAAATTCCCCTCTACGATCGCTTTGTAAACCTGAGGGAAATCCAACCAAGAGAAAGACGTTATCAAGCAAAGCGCGAGCTGCCGTTGTAGCAGTTTTGTCAGGCACAGGAATTGCGCGGAAAAATTGGAAAAGGGAGATACGGTGGTTACTATCCATTTGTTACCAGTGGGAAAGGAGGGAGTTCCCCTACATAATCGACCCCTAAAGTGTGAAATGGGTATTCAAAGATATGAATTTGCATAGGACCATGAGGTTGGTTTAGAGTTTTAAACTTTATACAATCTGGGCAACGGCGCACCCAATTTCGTACATGTTTGAACATATTACGCCAGTAGAAATCTCGTGACAAGCAATTGTACGATGCATCACGACCACGATGCATGCCAATTGGACTGTTGTAGTGTGCATATAAAAGATGTCGCTGAAGGGACGTGTCTGAGGCCACAAAAATCCTAAAATGATCAGGGTCAGACATAAATTCGTCAGCGTAATATCAGATACCATCTATAAGTTTGGCGCGTTTGGCGGGTTTCGACAAGGAAGTTACCCATCGTTTTATGGTTGTATTAAAATTGGTCAAGCTTGAACTTGAGCAAGTCATTTAGTATATAGTGTACGAGAGGTCCTAAATATGGGTCTTGTCGTTGTAATTTAGCGAAGTCCATTCTATTCATATTTAGTGGATTTAGGAATTGTAAGTCTTTATTCCACTCTTTCTGTGATGGTAGATCAGATGTAAGATCGAGGCTCATCTCTTTGCTATGTGTAGAGGTAGCTGTATTTGTATTAGTAGTGTGCACTATAGGAGTGGTGAGTTGTGAGGATATATGAGCATTACAAGCTAGTGAAAGACATGTTATGTTGTCGATGTACGGTTCCTCTATGTGTGTTATGTCCAGAGAAAGTGCAACGATAAAAAAGTCAAGAGTTTCATAAGGTGGTATGGATAATATATTAGCCCCAGGCGACGCTAGGGGTAAAGGGGCTCGACTTAAAGTGTCTGGTACTACGTTTCCTTTACCTGGGCGATGTTCTATATTAAAATCGAACTCTGCTAATGGTAAACGCCCTCGTGCCAATTTGGATGACAAAAATTTTGGGTTTGCATGATCTGTAATCACCGTGAATTTTCTACCCATTAAATATGGCCTGAAAGGCTCTAGAACCCATTTTACTGCGAAAAGTTCATGATGAGCAGTAGGCCAACGTGATTCGGTAGGTGAATAGGATCTAGAAGCAAAACGAACTGGCCTAAGTTTGCCTTGGTAACGCTGGGCTAACATTGCACCACACCCTTTTTGGCTGGCTTCGGTGTGAACTTCAAAAGAACCGTCGCAGTCTGGGTGGAAAAGCATTATGATGGGTGAAACTAAGGCAGTTTTAAGGCATTGAAATTCAGCCTCGTGTTGAGCTGACCACGAAAATGAGGCATTTTTTTTAAAGAAGGGCTCGTAAGTGTTGAGTTTTGGCTGCCATATTGGGGATATTTTCCCAAAAATATCCAACCATGCCTAAGAAGCGCTTGAGGCCAGAGCCATTATGGGGTGTACGAAACCTAGAGATGGCCTCAGTGTCCTTCTCAGTAGGATATCGACCTTCTGTTGTGACTTTATGACCCAAAATCTGTATTTCTTGAGAGAAAAATCCACATTTAGTTGGCTTAAATTGAATGCCAAATTGTGCTGGACGTTTAAAGATATTTTCATAATGAGAAAGTGCTTCAGAACACGATGAAGACCAAGAGACACAGTCGTCGATGTAGATGATAAGCCATTGATGATAATGCATTCTTGTATCCTGTCATGTAGCTAAATCCCATTTCTTTCTTTTCAAACGTATGCTAGAGGGCTTGTTGTAGGCTATGAAGCATTTTAGAAAAATATTCGAAAAATATATTGAACTATATTGAAAAATATATGCGTTTCCACTTTTGGACTCCTATGGTGATTTTTCTATAGACATGTAGAACTGATTGGACAACTTTACCAGTCATATGCTTGCGTTTTTCTCATTGGCCTATTTTGACGTTTTATACTCTGAGGAGTGTCAGACAAGTATGTTGTAAAATTTATGCTTTTTCAAAGCAAATTTAAAATAACGTACCGCAAAAATAATACAGTGGAATACCGATATAACAAACTGTGAAGGGGATCAGAAAATAGTTCGTTATATAGGGAGTTCGTTAACCCGGGAGAAAACGTTTTTTAGGTCTTTTCGCAGTTCACACCTAAAAAAACCTGCGATAGGCTTGTTTAGGCTATCTCAAACTTTTGTGCACATTTAACTCCGAATAACCAAGCTGAATTCAATTGCTACTAATGGTTTTAGTCATTTAGAATGAACATCTTTATGAATGAACATGTTAAATTGTGATTGCCTGCTAAGTATTTATACCGATCAATCCTCCTTAGGTTCCTGGAGTACTTCTGAGGGAACACGTCTTTTCTTCATCTACTTTTATCTTTACCGCTCTTCTTCTGTGGCTCACCTTGTCACAAACAAACTTTTCATTCTTTGCATTTTTGTGCTGCTTTTATCATCTTTCTTATATTTTCTATTAGATATTAACATAACGAGAGTAGTCAAAGTGGTCATCAATTATCGATAAGATTCTATCGTATTTTCTAACATTTCAGGGCACTTCTTGCCCACTGTGCCTCTCTTCGAAGATAGCAGAAGGGGGAAGCTGCACTTAAAATTTCCAGTACTGCTTCTCCGCGAATTGACCATGGAATGGTGCGTCCTTCGAAATCACAGGCAAATCATGTTTTGTTACCTTTCGAGCAAACAATGTATGTTTATTTTCCTAATAGGCCTTTAGCATTGCAAAATTTAAAAATAAGAAATGCGCCGTAGAGCGGAAACACTCAATAAAAGATCCCGTTCCACATTGCATGCAGCCCGGTTAAGCTTTCACGGCCTCATTCATTCGTTTGTAATTCCCAGAAAAAAAGCTTTACTCAGGTTGATTGAGACATGTAGAGTTGACTTTATACATAAAACATCCGAGAAGACTTTTAATTTTTATAAACAAGATATCTTTACGAAAAGCTGATATTGATGTTTTGATCAAAAGCAATCAAGTAAAAGCTGCAATTATGAGAATGTAGCCAGTTTAGAAGTAATCTGTGGAGTTAAAACCGTTTGCGGACCTGGATCTTGTACGGTTTTGGTTCATGAGTGATATAAACAAAGCCATCAAGTTTTGGAAGATCCTCCTTGTTGCCTGGCAGAAATTCAAACCTTTGGTAAACTTGAGCAAGAATTAGAAAAAGCTCCATTTTAGCAAGTGCCTCTCCAAAACATACTCTTTTTCCGGCTGAAAATGGAAGGAAAGAGTCGTGCGCGCCTGCAATGTAATTGCCCTCTTCATTCAGCCATCGCTCGGGTCGGAAATCTTCTGGATCAACCCAGTGACGCTCATCGTGGTGCATGGCGTACAAATTCAAGAAAACGTGTGTACCCTTGGGGATTTTGTAGCCAGCAATGGATGTGTCGCAGGTGGTAGAGTGTGGAACGGCAAGCGGCGCAACGGATGCCATCCGTGCGGTTTCATTAATGGCCGCTTCGAGGTAGTTAAGTGCAGGGCGGTCATCCATGCAAGGTTTCCTCGTGCGCCCAATCACTCGATCGAGCTCCTCGTGAATTTTCTTCTGTGTCTCTGGCCACAGTACGGAGAAGGCAACAAACCAATTCATAGTTGTGGTTGTTGTTTCAATGCCCGCATTGAAAACATCAGCCATAATCATCATCATATTATCCTCCTTCAAATATCTGTCACTAGATTTGTTTTGTTTTATTTCCTCATCTGCGGCATCAATCAATGCGTCAGTGAAATCGCGGATGTTTCCCTTTTCAAATGTCTCGCGGTGTTTCTTTAACCACTTGCCCAATATTGGGTCTCGCAAACTTCCAGATTCTCGTAACAAACTGATGTTATGATTCGGAAAGTGCCTCATCCACGTCAGAAAATCGACTCCATTTGCTCCTGCGATGCCTTCAAACATCAGTTTATTGTAATACATAATTGTTGTGAATTCTTCGTCATCTATGTTGTATTTCGATCCGAATACAATTTGGCAGATGACATTGGTAGCAGCAAGACCTAAAGGACGAACGATCATGGTTAATATTCCGTACACTTAAATAGAACTCACTGTTTCTTATGGAGGAGGGGGGTGGGGGGGGGGCTGGAGATTGCGGCGCTAAACGCTTCGAAAAAAATTGATTTTTCCGACGAGGAATTATCCAAGCTAGACACTCTGAGCCAGGGCCGCGGAGAGGATTTCTTGGCCCCGGGTCAAAACGAAAGAAAAATGCAAGGCACACCGGAGGCGACCCTTTTAAGAGGTCCGGGGAAATTTTTTGAGACGATGGTTGCTTAAATTACGGCTATTTTGGTTGCTGAAATTGCGATGGTAGCTATTACCTCTCTACTCTTTTCAATATAGTTTAGGTATGACTGGTATTCTATCGTCACAATTCATGCATATTTCTTAACTATAGAATATCCAATTCTTTACATTTAAAAAAGCTTAGGAAGTGAAAAACGTTCAAATACCAAATTTGATCAAAACGGACATGCAGCACCAAAAAGATTTTCACTATTCAAATAATTTGAAAAACTTTACATCTAGCAATCAGAATGCATCCTTTCAATGTCAATAAAAAACTAGTTGATTCGATCTTGGAAGATGCTTGTTTAGACGATGTCCCAAAAATTTGAAGACCAAGAGAAATCAGTCAAGTTTATCTCTATCTTGAATTGAAAGCCAGGACAAGGCCTTTGGTAAAATTCAAGATAATGTCGGCATTGTTATTATTGATAGTGTTACAGCAAAGATGATCAGGTGATTCACGTCGATTGGCGAGATATGGGAGGGGTTCAGAATTCTTTGATTATACATAAGGTTGAAGGAAGATGACCTAACAAAAAAGAGCAAAATTCTGCACAGCAAAAAAGGATGACATATCTCCTAACATCACTGAGGAGTCACTTTTTCTAAGAAGCATCAATCAATGGAGCTGTTGAACAAGCTTAAGCATTTGAATATGAAACGCTTATTTCCAAATGTTTTCATTGCATTAAGGTTGTTTCTGACTTTGCCTGCTAGTGTTGCATCAGCTGGAATATCGTTATAATGGTCCAAAATAGCTGAAATTTCCAAAAAAACTGTACTATAGCTCCATAATTTACCCTTTCATCTATGGGCCCCTAAAGTCATGGGCCCCCGGGTCAGTGACCCCCCTGACCTCCCCTCTCTTCAGCACTGCTCTGAGCATACCATTGGATCATACATGAGGCTCTAGTTATTTTTTCAAAGTGCCAACTAGTGTTGAGTCACGTCCGCGTGGGTGACTGTAGCAGAAAAGCAGCAATGTAGCGAGGGAGTGGGCGAGGGGTCTCGAATAGTTGGTTTTTGAGAAGGGTGCAAATCTCTCCTATATAATTGGTACCTCAAGGGGGAAGGGTGATATTTAAGCGAGTATAGCCTTTTAAACGTTTGAAAGAAATTAACTGCAAGAAATACTATGAAATTTAGTTTGTGCTAATCTAAAGGGCGTGTTGGCAAAAAGTTTTGTTGCCTGGCATGAATTTTGAAAGAAATAGCTAATCATGAAATGGAAAGAGCCAGCCTCAAAAAACTACATGTTACTGTAATTGTGTTTGACTAACAAACCATTGCCAAGTACAAACAACATAGCTCATTTCAAACACATTTGGAATAAGGAGCGTTGCATGGTATTATGGATGTGATCTGCAAAAGTTTCCCCCCTTTGTCAGGCTTGCCTTCGCCCCCAAATCTCGCCACCCTGGCAACGCCACTGCAGAAGAGCATATGAATATAAATATGATCAAATTTCCCATGGAAGAATAAGGCTGTTTACAAACAAGAGACCTTCTGCTATTGGTAAGTCGATATTGGTAAGCTTTTTGGAATGAAAAAGGGGGGCTCAGCAACATCCACAATTGAGCAGCTTACAAAATAGCTAAATGTAAAGATAATCAATGGTTTGAATTAATCTAATTAAAGTCAATGGTTTGAAGTCAAAATTTAACGTCCCAAAAGAAAAAAATTACGGAGTATTTTAAAATCGCAAAGTCGCATAGTCGATGTTAGAATTGAACAAGTTATGAATGATGATGATATAAAATGAACAAAGCTTACAAAGATTTCTCTTTGGATCGAAGCATTGGCCATCGATCTTTGCAAGCCTTTCCATCAGCTCATCTGCGTGTGTGTTGATTGTTTTCTCAAGTTGCACTCTGTTGGCCCCATACATTTTTAGTGCTTTGTGCGCCAGTTTTCTTATGGTTTGCCAATATGGTCCATAATCAGAGTACACGATGTCAATGCCTCGCCCTGTCTTATGTCCTTTTGCTGCTTCTATCCCCGTGTAGGAAACAGGCCTTCCTGCAAAATCAGTTGATTTCTGAATCAAACTCTCTTTTGCTGATTCAATGCTGCTTATGACGACAACAGGCCAACCTCCAAAATACACGCTGAACACATCGCCATACTTCTTTGCAAGGGCCTTCAATGATTTCTGGGGTTCACTGCCAATAAGGTGGATATTTCCAATAACGGGGAGCGGGATCGGGCCAGGCGGGAAAGATTTTGGGCGAATGAAGATTTTCGCATAGATGAGAGCAAAAAGTACCAAGCCAGCGATGATTAATGTCTCTACAACCATCTTTATAAACCTACAGAAAAAAACAAGATTTGAAAAACAATCATTAGGTATAAGCCACGAGTTCTTCAGTTCATGTTTACTCAAGTTTGTTACTGGAAACGAAAAAAGGTAGGAGACAAGCAGTTGCAGCGAGTGATTTGTGCAATAGCTTCAGAAACCCATTCTTCTCTTTTATATTCGACTTCTGAAATAAGACATATATACTGTAAACAACTAAATAAGACATTCTCAATTCACAATTTGAAATACTGTAAACAACTGAGAATAATAGCAATAGCCAGTTAAGATAACATTCAAATTCAAATTCAGTGACATCAATTTTGGTTTACAATTTATTTTGATACTTAAATAGCTGATTATAAAATATTAAGATAACTAAAATAACAACGTTTTTGTTAGTATAGTTGCCTAGGATGCTGAGGGAATCGAGACGATTTTCGAGCCCAGCACCCTATTAAGTGAACAAAAATAATGAAATTGGCACAATTAAGTAGCAAAATTACATAGAATAGGGTTATACAGTATGATATAATAACAGGTTATATTTAATAATAGTAATATTACTAATCATAACTACAATAAATTACATTACATTATTCATATTAGAAAAAAATACGTGTGGAAAGGGGAATCTCAATTGAAAATACGATCTGGAGGAGTTTATGTTTCAAACAGGGCTTTTTCTAATTCTAGCCGAACGATGTTTCGATAATAATTCAAATCTTTGGCGTTCGCGACAATATTATGTCCTCTCCATTTTCGATATAAACAATATTTCGCTCTGTCTATTTGCCCTGTAGATTAAAATCCAAAAAGAAAAAACCGATGAAAGCTAAAGATGTTGAAAAGAGAATTAGAACTGTAAAGTGACTTACTAGAAGATTCTTCAAACAGCGTAAAAACACGTCGAGACTCTCCTAAAAGCACCCAACGGCTACTTATCCGCCGATTGGCAATAGAAATATTCGAGGCAATAATGACATAATTAACAGAGCCAAATCAACTGATGGGGTCAGGAGACGAGGAGTTGGCATGTTAATTAGAGGTTATAAAGTGACTCACGAGTCTGACCACTGATCAGTGAGTCTGACGCATGATAAAAACGCATCGTGTAGCCTCATGATTAACGACAATGCCAAAAACAGCAACAGCAACAACAACAACGGCTGCAGCAACAACGCCAACAACGATATAACGAAAGCACTTACATCCTCAAAACTTTCTACTACTGCTGCTGAAATACACCAAAGGAAGAAACACAACACAAAGAGAATATTAATAAGTTGTTAAAACACTAAATGCTCTGTAAATGCTTAGATGTCAATCAAGTACGTGATGTTTCCATTTAAAAGGGTCGTGGGAAGCATTGCAATGCTAGGGAAAGTTTGTCAAAATACCTCAGAAATAGAGAGATTTCAAAAACTATTTGGGGCTTGAGCCTAAAATTCATGACTCGTGATGTCCACATTATCACATAATACGTGAAAGGACATTTACACATTCTTTCTTAATTGCCAAAAGAAAATCTAAAGCAAAGACAACGATTTTTTCTCTCTTCAAATTTATAAACACACAGTCAGTGAAACTTCGACTGTCGAATTCAAATCTGCTTATGCCAAGATTTCAAAAGAAATTACCTGCTAATATAAATTGTAAGATAGATGTTATATTATAATAATTACATGGTTCATAAGATGGCATGCGAAACTGTTACTAAGGGTGTCACTTGATAAGTGAAACTTGATCTGTGAAAATATGAAATCAGCGGAAGTCTGTTATTTTCGTCCACAAAAGAGTTATTAACTCTATGTCGTCCACAGTCACAGGTTTTTGTCTGCAAGGAAACCCTGTGCCCTAGAACTTTTCTCATTAATCCAGTATCTGAACATTTCAAATATTGCAAAAATTCTTGATCGCAGCACAGTCATGAGAAGCTGTTTCAAACAGATGTGATGTCTGCCAAATTAAAAATGTACGAATACAAAGCTAAAGGGTACATATAAAAGCAAAGACCGAGATACAACATCTTGTTGGGAGGGGGTGGGGGCAGCCGTGATAAATAAGTGAAAAAACAGCCATGCTTATAAAATAAAAGCAGTTTACTTATGCTTATAAGTTTTTGGGGGGCCAAGACCCCCTGGCCCGGCCTCCCGGTATCTCGGTCCTTGCATGAAGGCAGTGGCGGAAATTATGAGGGTTTGGGGGGGGGGGCTCGGGCCGATGCGATGTCGTCGGAAAGTTCGGGCTTTTGTCGGATAATTGACAACCTTTTAACGGGTCGAAATTACTCCAAGAAATTGTTCTGAAAAGGAATTTCAAGCTAATCTTAAGGCGGGTTTACACGATCGTTTTTCTTTAATTTTTTTTCGATATTGGACCGCGATGAACGACAACGATCGTGTAAAAGGCTAAATTGCTGAAAAAAGTTTGATGCTATCTGTCGTTTTTAATCCGCTTAATTGGCGATAATGATCCATCGTTGAAGATTTTATTTTGACTCCGGGTCAAAATAAAATCTCTACCATCATTTTTTTTCAAAGGGGCCGACAAATTCTGACGTCATGTCAGCCTCGGGGAGAGAATTTCGAGACTTTTTACTAAGTATTGGGGTGAAGAAAAGATTGGATTCATGCTATGAGAACTAAAAAAGTCGGGGAAGGTAGTTAAAACGGGCAGGGGACTATTTTTAGATAAAAAGAGGTTCGGGTTTTACAAGTTTTCTTTGAGAATGGCCCGTCATTAGATTAAAAACGACAGATAGCATCAAACTTTTTTCAGCAATTTAGCCTTTTACACGATCGTTGTCGTTCATCGCGGTCCAATATCGAAAAAAAATTTAAGGAAAAACGATCGTGTAAACCCGCCTTTAGGGGCGTAATTACCAAATTTTCTGCTCGCTTCGCTCGCAGCTGATCTACACTTTCCCTTTTTACCCGAGGAGCATCTATAGCCTCTCTGTGCCTTGCAAAGGTTAGCCGAAATTTCCATTGGATTCTTTCGAATAAAAGTTATTTTCAAACGTATTTCCCACTGACGAAAACAAGATAAAATGCATGAAATGAACGCAGTGGCGGATCCAGACTACCGCCATTACCGCTCGAGCGGTAGTCAGATTATTCAAAAAATTATAGAAACAAGGATCATTTTCATGTTTATCCTAATACTTTAATTAAACCATAATTAATTATTGAAAATATTTGTTCGCGCTGCAAACCAAGCCTTTCTTCCTAGGAACATGCCTGAAATTTCCACAGAGACAAAAATATTGTTTAATCCTTATCGCTATGGAAATTGCGTGCCAATTGCCGAGCCACATGTTTGCAAATAGAAGGCTAGCATGGGGGATGATGAAATCATGGCTTGCTAGCTAGGGGGGTTGAGTCGGTGTAAAGCGGATTCGAGCTGCACTGAGCGGTAGTCAGCTTGCCTAAACCAATCAAATCGTCAGAAATCACTGCCAACCTGGGGGGATGCATACAAATTTTTTTGACAACCAATGAACAACCGAGTTGACTACCGCTCAGATGGGGGGTTGAAGTAGTACTGCCGCTCAACGCGGCTCAAACGTTACTGAAAGATGGGGGGATGCCTACATATTCTGCAAGTGGGCAAACTGTAACTTCAAAGTGTAAAATGTTGCTTAAATCGATTGATTCTCAGGACCTTTAAAAAGCAGAGGATGGCCAATAAATGATGCGACGTAAATCGGTTAAATCTTTCCTTCTTTTCTTTCGATAAAATCGTCCCGGCAGCTACATAACTTGCATGCTAACAACGACATAATGATTAACGCGTGACATGGGCATAATCTTTCACAAGAACTATCCCAGAGGTCTTCCAAAACTGATATATCTTCTATAAATATTTCCAAACGACTATGAGCAAAACGAAGGCGACAAGATCTTTCACAAGCATCTTGCCCCTAAAACGGTGCATGCCTAAACTGCTTTCTCTTGCTGCTACTTTTCCATAATTCTTACTTCCTAAGATGTGGTACGGGGCTCCTATAGATACTGAACTAAAAACAATATACATGTAACGAGCGGGGTGGGGTAGCGCGATATCCTAAACTACTGGGTTGCTATGGCGATCTACTTAACATGCTGATAATTGACGTAGGTATGAAGTTACTCATAATAATACAAAGATTATCCTAATACACGTGATAGAAAAATGCGGAACGAGCAAGGAAAGTTACAGATAAACAAGAGTGATTAGGTAAGGAAAATTAAACGAATGGACTAGAGAGAAAGGCCTAAAATTAGCAGTATTACATACCTCCCTATCGAGAAAATAGAAACGTCCTCGTTTCTGCGTGCTAAACAAATTGTGACTAACTGAAGTCTGAAAAATGCCTAAAGTCTGTGAATAAAAGTCGACAAGTCCAGTGGATGGATTAAAAAAAAGATTGGCGTTTTCTCCGAATGCATCTCGGGATGGTATGCAGGGTGTTCGAACTGTCGTCTCGTGAACAGTTGTTCGTCGCCTTCCATCTTGAGGTACATGTTCTAAACTGATTCGTGAATCTGGGTTCGGGTCTGTTTCCAGCACCATATAATCTCACTTCTCCTGTCACCAATGTAAAATGTTTGCTTAAATCGATTGATTCTCAGGACCTTTAAAAAGCAGAGGATGGCCAATAAATGATGCGACGTAAATCGGTTAAATCTTTCCTTCTTTTCTTTCGATAAAATCGTCCCGGCAGCTACATAACTTGCATGCTAACAACGACATAATGATTAACGCGTGACATGGGCATAATCTTTCACAAGAACTATCCCAGAGGTCTTCCAAAACTGATATATCTTCTATAAATATTTCCAAACGACTATGAGCAAAACGAAGGCGACAAGATCTTTCACAAGCATCTTGCCCCTAAAACGGTGCATGCCTAAACTGCTTTCTCTTGCTGCTACTTTTCCATAATTCTTACTGCCCAAGATGAGGTACGGGGCCCCCATATATACTGAACTAAAAACAATATACATACGTAAAAGAAACGGTGAAAGG